GTTGAAAAGAAAAACACATGATTGATCCACATTATATTAGAGATCATGGAGGTTCCTAACTTTGGAGATCCAAGTATTTTTGCAATTTTAAATAGTGCAGAGTGGGAGACACAATTTTTTTAGAGTTAGGCCTTTCTTCAGTTTGAGATCGGACTGAAGTGTGCTATTGAGTCTGTAGAGGCTCACTACGAGTCTTATTTTGATGATTTGAACCGTTCATTATGTAGTACTCGTTAAGTAAATCGCGTTGATCAAATATCGATAACTATTTGATCGGATCAGATTTCTGTTAACAACTAAACATAAAAATAAATTATTGATAAAAATTTAATCTGATTAAGTAACTATCGATATCTGATCAATGTAATTTTTTATAAAAATAAAATATTTATCAAATTTTATATATTAAATAATTTAAATTATCAAAATAAAATCTGTAAATAATAAACCCAACTCATACTGGCAGAAGTTTCATTAACTCTGACATTCAAGTCAAAATATGTGTCCATCTCAGTACAGCTACAAAAGATGACCCGATACCGTCCAGTCTACCAAGAAAAATGCTTGGGAGCACTAATTAGTGCTCCCACTAATTAGGTGGCAGTGGGTTCTGTTATTAATGATGTAATATTTTAATTTTGGAGTTGTTTTTTTATTTTTTATTTTTATTTTTTAATACATTAGTGCTATTAGTGGTAATATTTTTAATGGAATGAATCATTGCTGAGTCTACCAAATAACTTGGACGCACAATTAACAACTAGAGATCGCCTCGTATATGTCAGTCAAACACCATATGAACAGCGATTGCATGGATTTTGCAGCTGTTAGGTGTCTCAAACAGTGCCCAACTAGATATTTAAGGGTGGTTTGGAATAATTTAATAAGGGTTAGTTTGGGTAGTGGATTGATTTTTTAATTTTTTAATTTTTTTTATTATTTTAATTTGTGCTAAAAAGTCTGATTTGGGAAAGATTTTTTGGATTTTTAACTTTTTTAAATTTTTTTGTGAGAGAATAGTGCAATGATTATGAATTGAATGTGATATTTTGTCTTTTGTGACTAAAATAGCAAAAAAAAGCCCCATATTCTTCTTCCCAAACGGTGTATTTTTTGACATTTTATGAAATATGAATTAAATTTAAAGTGATGTGGTAGAGAGATGATTTGACTTAAATAAGATGATTTGATTTAAATAGAATAGTAATTTTTTAACTTTTTAACTTTTTTAGGATATCCAAAACAAGGCTTTAGGGTTATTTTGCATACAGGATTAAAAGTTAATTTTTAATTTTATTGTATTTCTATTTTTTTACATATTTTTTTTTTTAAAAAGTTGGCTCATAATTAAATTTCCCAAACAACCCCAAGTCGGCTCATGATTTCTCTCCAATTCACTATGTAAATAGGAACATATTGTTAAACCTGTGAAACTTATCACAGGTCTTGTTTCGATAATCTGAACCGTTCAATGTGTAGAACTCGTCAAGTACTTCTTGTTTGCAAAAATTTACATTGATTGGATATTAGTAACTCTTGATCGGAACACATTTTTGTTAATAATTTATTTTAAAAATCATATTTATCATTGATAAAAGGAAAATGTTTGGGAGCTCTAAAGGAACTCTAGGGGATGGGTCACACTTATTGATATGATATTTTGGCCTTAGTTTTTTTTTTTTTTTGGAATTTCAACTCATTAGAGCTCCCAAATTAGTGGGATGAATAATGTTATTGATAAAAATGTGTTTTGACTAAAGGGCTACCGATATCTGATTAACGTGATTTTTTACGATACAAAATATTCAATAAATTTTACACATTCAACAGTTTATATTATCAAAATAAGACCTGTAATAAGTCCCACAATCCTAATAATATGCTCTAATCTATACCGTGGATGGGATAGAAGCATCTCCCATCAGATTATCAGCCCTTCAACATCGTATTTGGGTAGTTGCTGGGACTATCATGAGAACAAAAACTTTATTTGATATGTAGGACTTAAGGGGTGTTTGGGAAGACAAGGTTTAACCTCTCTTTTTTTCGCTTAAAATTTATAAAAGACAAAATAAATTAAAATAGCAGATAAAATAAAATGTTAAGTCAACTTTATAATTATTTTATTTTATTTTTTCACAACTATCATATTTAATTATGAAAAAATTTAATCTTTTTAAATATAAATATTTAAATATATTAAACTAATCTATTAAAATAACCAATCTCTCAGAGGAGTTCTTGTTCCTTCTCTGTTTCATTCCCTGTTTTCTTAACGATCTCACAAATTAACAAAAATGCTTAGCCGTTCTAAATATAGAATTCTAGGACAGTTCTAATGAATTGACATTCCATGACGTGATGACTGTGTCAATCTTCTTTCTTTTTTTTTTTCTTTTTTTTTGAAGAAAATTTAAAAAATTTGATTAAGTGTGGCATATCTAAAATAATCAATTTTTTTTTATCTTTTTTATCTTTTTTTTTCTCACATCACCTTTCTATTTTTCTGCACATCTTTTTATAAAAAGACAAAAAATACACTTATTTAAATCATCCTAAACAACCCCTAATATAATGCTCCTTTTTAGAGAGATACCTCGTGACTGCACAAATTAATAACATCCAAAAAGAAACAGAAAATGGTGTATGAAAAAGACACCAGTGACATTTGTTTCGTGAAAAAGTGGGTCCAATTATTGTTCAAAATTACTTTATTTTTTTTGGCATTATACCCCAAAAAAAAAAAAAAATAGACCCAAACATTTATAAGTTCAGCAGTGCTTCCGACTTGCAGCTGGGGCACCTAGTGAACCCTCCCTCCTAGTGTCACGCGATAGCCTGTCACTGGCTGAAACTAAAAATAAAAAAATAACAATGATTCATTCCATTAAAAATATCACCACTAATAATACTAATGCATTAAAAAAATAAAAAAAAAATACAACTCCAAAACCAAAATATCACATCATTAATGACAGGACCCACTGTCACCTAATTAGTGGGAGCACTAATTAGTGCTCCCAAGCATTTTTCATAAAAAAAATTTAAAAAAAAATAAAAAAAAAAAATTGGACAATTAAAGAAGAAAAAAAAAAAAAACAATTTTTTTGGCCAATTAGGGATGACCCCAACACCCCCACTAGGGGTCTAAGTCATTTTTCTTATAAGTTATATTCAGTGTGTTTGATTTGAATTTTGTAGATTAAATTTTTTGAAAATTGAATTTTTTAATTTTCATATTCTTTTATTTTTAGTGAATATTTTTTAAATTTTAAATATTTTTTTTACTTTTTTAGATGCACCTTAATTAGATGTATCTTTAATAAATACATAAAAATACAAAAAATGTACTGAATTCTTGTATTTTTTTTTTTTTTGTATTTTTGGTATTTAGTGAATTTTTAAGAGATTTTTTTTTTTACATTTTTTTTTACTTTTTAGGTGTATTTATGTTAGGTGTGTCTAAAAAGCAAAAAAATTGCTTAAAATATTGAAAAAATTCTGTAAAAACAAAAAAATATGAAAAATAAGAAAATAAAATTTTTTGAAAAGTATTTTTTTAAAAATAAAAACAAGCAAACTGATTGATTCGTAAAAAATAGATTCAACTATGGTTCAAACTTACTTGATTTTATAGCATATTTTTAAATAAAAACGCTCAGTATAAATTTGTCTCACTATTTTTTTTATAATTATTAAACACAATTGAAGTTCATGTGCATTTATTAAGAAAAACAATATTAGAGCATTTGTGTTGGTCTTAATAAATTTTGAGTTCAATTATAACTCAAAATTCACTTTTATTATTTTAATTAGTCATCTTCTTAGTGCTCACTGTATCAAACTCTTTATTCTAACTCAATTTTATTAAAATATTAATTTCTTATTCTATTTGTTATTCTCTTTTTATTATTATTAAATTGATGAGATGTCACCCAAACAATTCTTAAAAAAAAAAAAAAATTGCCGTTGACCGGTTGACCGGCCGATTAGACTTATTTGGACATTTTTCTCCTTTTGCTACAGGCACTCACGGGACATCCGGTAGGATATCCGGAGGAACATCCGGGTAGACGACCGCTTTAAAGATTTTGGCCCAATTTTGCTCTAGAAAACATAATAAAAAATCATGTAGCCAATGAACAACGCCTTTTTTAAGTTGTTGAGGTACTGTAGCAAATTTAACAAAAAGTTAATTTACAAAAAAATTGTTGAGACTGATGGAGGAAGGATTTGATGATTTAGGTCTTGTTTGAGAATCTTTCCTTTTAGTCAAAAAAATCAAAAAGTTACTAATAAATTAACCAAAAAGCCAATAACACATACTAAAAAGTCAAAAATTCTCTTTTCTCTCTACTTTTTGCACATCTTTTCGTAGAAAGTCAAAAAGTCATCCCAAACATATTAGTTTTTTTTAACTCATATTTTAGCTAAATAACCAAAAAGTTACTAAATTAACTTGTTCCCAAACGAGGCCTTAGTAGCTATATTTTACCTTTTTATTATTTTGTCTCATCTAATACGAATGTTCTTATGTAGTTTGAATTTAAGTTTGTTTGAATATATAGCTTGAGTTTTAGCTTGTTGATCATTCGGTCGGTCATCTGATAACATGATAATAGTCACAATCGATAAGAGTGACAATTACGATAGATAAATATTGTGTCAATCTTCCAAACGATCGTCCGAAGGATCAATTGACATTTATAAATTCAGACAATTTAAATAAACTCAAATGCAAGTTACCATACGTTTCACAATTAAGAAAAACCATGTAAAAAGTGATTTTTTTGGGTAAGTAATGTAAAAAGTGATTGTTCATGGCAAAACCGACTTTTCAATTGTCACTGGTCTCAAGCAAGTGGGTCCAACATGGCAACCAATGAAACGTACCAGACGGGTGGGCTTTGGCTTGGTAAGAAAACAATTTAGAGTGACATTAGGAATTTTAAATAATTTATTAAATTTTTTATCAAACATATATAAATTTGTATGGTTTTATACTCATGTGAAAGATGGGTGTGTGATCTACACATATATAGGTTTGTACGGATCACATATGTAAGATGTCTAATACAAAATTTGATAAATTATTTAAGATATGTAATATTTTTTATCAATTTATGTATTAAAAAGTCTATGAAACATGAAAATCAAACTCAGAAAATCCTTAAAATGTTAAATTTATGATATAAAATTAAGGTCGTATGTGTGAGACATATTATTAATGAATTTGTACTTTTAATTTTTAACTTCTAAATCATTTTTAATTTTTTATGTTTGAATTCAAAAACTGCTCTTATTTATAATATTTTTTTCATCTTAATACCAATATATATACTCACATTTCAAGAATTTAATGGAGCCAACAAGAGCCCTTCCCCTTTCTCTCTCTCCCCCTCCCTCTCTCTCTCTCTCTCTCTCACACACACACACACATTCATGGCTGCTCGAAAACTCTATGGTGCCATTGATTCTACCTCCACAATGAGAGCACTGGTTTCGCTTTTCGATCATGAGCTCGAGTTCGAGTTCGTACCAGTGGATCTCAAGGCCGGAGACCTCAAAAAAGAGCCTTTTCTCTCTCTCAGCGTAATCCTTGCACTTTAACCTCTTCCTCTTCTATACCATCTTCAATTTTAGAGCTTCTCTTTTTTCAGTTGTGGGGAAAAAAAAAAATTATTATTTATTTCTAAAAAATAAATAAAAACACCATTAAAGGAAAACAAACTATATGCCTGTTTGGCAGAGTTTAATTACAGTTTATTTCAGCTTTCAGCTTACAGCTTAATTTAAGTTATTTTGATGTGTTTAATTTAGCTTATAGCTTATAACTTTTTGAAAGTCAGAAATCAGCTTATTCTTTGAGTGGGACAGGAGATGCTTTAAGAATAAACTGGAAATCAGCTTAAGCTGAAAGTTATAAGGTATAAGCTGTTGAGGCATAAGTTATAAATACTTTCCCACAACTCTACCAAATAGGACATATTTTACGCGCAGTACTTTGGTGGTGGTATGTTTTTCAATGAGCTCAGCTTCTCTTGAACAACTAAATGATCCACTGCACTTGAGAGAAATCAAGCTTTAGCATGAACAGTTCAATCTACTTAGCCTCCGTTTGGGAAGTGGGTTGGCTTTTTAGTTTTTTGGCTTTTTGGCTTTTTGGCTATTTTAGCCTGGACTATTTTAGCCTGATTTGGGAAGGACTTTTTGACTTTTTGACTTTTTTGGCTTTTTTTGTGAGAGAGGATTGTAATGATTATGGGTTGGATTTGATGTTTTATTTTTTGTGGCTAAAATAGCCTATTTTGTTTTTTGTGGCTATTTTAGCCCCAAATCAAGTTCCCAAACAAAGGCTAAGTGTAACTGCTAAGTCCTAACTAAATTTTTTTTTAATCTATTTTTAGCCATTTGGTCAGGATCCGATTTTTGAAGATGGAGATATGATACTATTTGGTAAGCTTCATTTCACTACAAAAAAAAAATGTTTTTTGCGACGGCAAAACGCCGTCGCAAATACTCCCGCACGCCGTCTCAAAAGTTATTTGTGACGGTAATTTTTCTTTTTGCGACAGCAAGTGGGGGTCGCAACAAAGGGGGTTGCAAAAGAGCTTTAGTGACGGCAACTGCTGTCGCCATTGTATTTGCGACGGGAAATTTTCTTTTTTGCGACGGCAATTTTCTGTCGCCAATAATGGATGAAAATCTGGGTTTTTTTGCGACGGCACAGGCTTTCCGTCGCTAAAATAGGTTTGTGCGACGGCAAAAATTCCATCGCTAAAAAATGTCGTCGTTTTTGACTATTGTCGACGGCAACCTGAACAGTCGCTAATAAGTATTGGCGACGGCAATTATACCGTCGCTAAAGCCTTGTTTTTCAATAAATTCTATACCTTTTGCGACAGTATGGCTGTCGTCGCAAAAAACCTAGCACTTTTTTTTTTTTTTTTTTTTTGGTTTTTATATATAATTAATTTGAAACATCACATAAACCACATCATTCTTCAAAACTAATAAATAATTACCCTCCGTATCGCAACCTTGCACATGTTCCATAAACAGTGAACACTCCGTGACCATCATCGATCACATTGAAACAATTCCTTTCAGGTACTCACGGAAGATCCGAAACTCATCTTCTGACTTTTCAGAGGTTAGATTTTAGATAGAGAAAATTAAAAAATTAATTGGAATAATTACATCTCAAACGAGTTCTTAGGCCCGTTTGAAGTGAATATTTTGTCTGAAATAGTGAAAAAGTTAAAATACTTAATCACACAATTCTCTCTATTTTTTGGATAAACTTCACTTTACTCTTCTATAATTTAGACGATGTGCATTTTATCCTCTAAAATTTAGAAATGATCCCCACGTGATTTGTGAGTCGAAGTGTACCGTTAAATATTCTGTCTAACTTAAAGCATGTGTAAAATACATGGCAGATATAAGGGGTTATATGTTTATTTTTAAATTTTAAGATAAATCGCATATCAAATAAAATACAAAGAGTTAAATCGTACATGAAATAAAATACAGAGCGTTCTTTCAAAAAAAAAAAAGTACAGAGAGTTAAAGTATAATTTGCCTTCTAAACAAATGATAAAAATATAAGAGTATTTTAATTTTTTTTATTAAATCGTTAATGAATTTAATGGTACATTATAATCCATAAACCGTAAAATTATATAATTATTGTTAAATTTTAAAAAAGTAAACTGCATATATTTCAACTCACAAGGATAAAATAAAATTTATTCCTAATTTTCTTACATTTTTTTTTTAAAATTAAAAAAAATTAATTAGAATAGTCAATTTTAAAACCAAACCAAGTAGAATAGATAAGAGAGTTAGCGGTAGAGAAAACGGCGCATGTGATGTGATCACGTGTAAAAAAACTACGACATCAACTGCACTTGGGCATGTTCAGTATGGCCGTTGATAACCGAGATAATGTTGCCCGGCTGCCGTACTCCCAGCAGAGTGGGCTGGCAGTTGGGTTAGGTGATGTACAGCAAGATTTGTGCTGACAGATGGGATAACAGAGTCACGTGTCGAGAGACCAATGGGAGTAGATTTGGGGCGCAGAAGGGTATATAAGCATGTCTGCGCCCCCCATACGCGACACAGGAACACTTTGTAAGGAAATTCTTACACTCAAACAACTCCACTCTCTCTCTCTATCCTAAGGTGTGTGTATTCTAACTTGATCGTCGGAGGGGTTTTCTGGCCACACACCGCCGGGTAGCTCACCGTTATTTGCTCGCAGGTGATCAGACAGAAACAGAGCTCGGAAGAAAGGAGTACGGACTTGCCGGAATATTTGCTCCCCGTACAATTGGCACTGTCTGTGGGAAGTTGACAGACAAAACCTTGTCTTCCAGGCTCATCTGATCGCCGTTCATGGCAAACAACGATCAGATTCTGTTGTCTGCCATCGACGGAGCCACCCCGGAGTTTATCCGAAGGAGAGAGGGACATCCCGCCATCCTTCCAATGGCGGATTTGGAGACATTCCCCGGAGGGCAGTCGGGGGAAGCGCGGGATAAGCGCGGGAGAAGTTATGGCCATTCGCGTAGTCCAGACGGTCATCGGCGGCGAAGAGAGTCACACGTCAGACGTCTGGAGCACAAGTTGAGGGACCAAGACGCCGTCATCCGGCGAATGGCGGCGGAGATGGAAGAGCTCAAGCGGCATGTCAAAGGGAAGGGTGTAGCTGGAGTGGGTGACCACAGTGAGCGCACCCCATCCCGCCGTTCAGGCGATCAGAGTCAGCGACGCACTCCGTCCATTTCTATTACCAGAAGTTACCAGGTTGGTGATTCCGACGTGCATGCAGAGAAGTCTAGCGCGCAAGATAGCACTTACCGGCCCTCACGTCCGGTGACGACGTCGAGATACTCTTACTTCGCTCATCCAGAAGATTTGCGGGCGGTCCTAAAGGAGCGGGCTCGCCGGCGGAAAGCTCAGAGGATACCGGCGTTCCAGCGGTTATCCTACGGGGTTCACGCCAGCGAGGAGGTCGGAATGCCTCCACCCCGCCAAGCAGCGTTACTCCTAGTGGATTCAGATTTGGCAAGGTTAAGTGCCACTCCTTTCTCCCTGGAAATAGAAACAACACCGCTTCCAGCAGGCTTCCACCAGCCAAAGTTCACGCTTTACGACGGGAAAACCGATCCCTACATACACGTAAGTCATTTTCGACAAGTCATGGGCGGACATAGGCGGAATGATGCTCTTATGTGCCTCATCTTTCCGTCAAGTTTGGGCGAACTGGGCTTGAAGTGGTTTGAAAGGTTGCCGGAGGGGAGTATTGAGAGGTGACATCAGCTGGCCGAAGCCTTTGTCACGCGCTTCAAAACCAATACCAAAACACCAAAAGAAGTTGATCACCTACTGAGTGTCAAGATGGAACCGAGCGACACGTTGAAGGCGTGCAACTCCAGATATTGGGAGACCTTTAACAAGATCTTGGATTGCCCGGTCAACCTTGCAATCACTCAATACAAGCGTGGTCTCCCGGTTGGACATAGACTGCGGGACTCGCTTACTATGCACCAACCGACGTCCATGGGCCAGCTCATGCAGCGCATCAATGAGCACGTCCGAGTCGAGGATGATGCGTCAGCATTGTAACAACCCTCATACTGTTGACTGATTAATGACTGATTGATTACCGTTAATCACCAATTACTGTTAAACGGAACTGATAATGACTGATAACTGACTGATAATTGAACTGATTAAAGTACTGAACTGACTGATTGAAATTGGAAACCGAATTGATTGAGTATATGTTAGTTAAATTGCATTTTATCTGTTTGACCGTATGATTATCTGTTCATGCTTATATGTTTAAATTGCTAATTGAAGGCCATATCGGCGGCCGAATTAGAAATTGATTGATGTTTTATGATCTACATAATTAATGTGATTTTATGGTATATTTATCTGAAAACTGATTAGGTATGATTAAATTAGATAAAATAAGCTAATTAAAGAGTTTGGTTTATTTACCATATTGCCACCCTTAGTGGCCCACTCAACATACATGTTTGAGCCTCATTACACCTTGTATCAAAAACACATTTCCATCAGCCATTTCTCCCGAGCTTAGCCGACCTTGAGAGGAGAGTTAGAGAGAGAGAGAATTGTTCTTGTTGATTTGGCTTGAATTGCTTGGAATTGAAGTGTAGATTGCTATATTGAACCTCTAGACTTGCATTCGAGGAACCTAGGTATGAATTTCATCTTTTGATTTTGTCTTTAAGTTGATTCATGCATGGTTCATGTTAATTTGTAGAGCTAAGTCATGATTTGGTTCATTAATGGCAGATTGAAGCTCATCTCTTGCATGCATGTTAGTATTGTTGCATTTTGAGGTTGATTACATGGACATTAGTACATGCATGCTCATATTGTTGTTACAGACCATGTTTTCATCTGGTTTTGAAAAGAAATGAGCTCATTTGAGCAAGCTTTAGAGCTTTAATTTGGTTTAAAACTCATCCATGCATGTTTGAATGTTGTTCTTGAAAATGGGTTTGATTATGGTTTTAATTGACTCACCTTGGGCTTTGATTTCTTAAAATTGAGCTTTGAAACATGATATTCTATGTGTTTATAAGAGTTTTCCAGAAAATGAGCCCAAGGGGATCGGTTTTGAGTTGTTAACAACTTGGTTTTGAACTTGGAGGTGCAATCTGGGTTTTCCAGATTTTGCACTTCCGCTCGAGCGGAGGAAGTGCCGCTCGAGCGTAGAATTCGAGCATCCAGTATCTCTGCACTGTTTTACCTTACGCTCGAGCGGAGGATTGGGCGCTCGAGCGGAGTCAGGTCTCACGCTCGAGCGGGCATCGAGCGGAGATTTCACCCATCCAGTACTTTTACAGTACGCTCGAGCGGGAAAGTTTACGCTCGAGCGTGTACCTTTGTTGCATGACCGCTCGAGCGGGGAAACGTGCGCTCGAGCGGGACTCTGTTTTTCTGAAAATGCTTTTAAATGTACGTCTTTGCATCCTCATTCCATTCTAGGCATTCTTAGGCCTAGTTTAAGGCATCTTATTGAGGATATAGATGTAGAACACACCGAGGCATTAGGGATTAAGTTATGAGATTTCCCAACTGTGTAGCTTAGTGTGTGTTCAACCTGTGAACTGTGTAGGGTTGGCGACTGGGGAGACACGCTCTAGCATACTGTAGCCCAGAACTCTGTGAGTAACAATTGTGTAAAGATATATTCAACTGATTATCTTTCGAATACTGAACTGAACTGTTTACTGAACTGATATTATTTACTGAATGAATGTATGTCCTTTATTTCTAAACTGTACTGTGGTATCCTTAGTATCTACGGTTTACTGTTACTGTTACTGCGACAGAATTCTCTGTCGGTTCCCTCGTGGAACCACTACTGTTTACTGACTGATGGCCATCATTACTGTTCGGTCTTTTAAGAC